AACATGAAACATGACCGTAAGGAGTCATATGCTATGGTACAAGAGAATGACATAAGACCCTTCCCCAAAATTAACTGTTGTGTTGTTTAGTTGTCTTGTCAATCCAAAAAATTCGACAGAACAGGTTTAGGAAACAGTCTATTCCGATTGGTTAATATGGATTTATAGTCTTAACTCTGTAAGAAATTAAAGGTTTTACTTTAGGAAAATTCTTCAGTCCTTCAATCTTTCTTGAAAAGAGTGGTCGACTCCGGGAGCGTGTAAGATGTTATCTCATGATTTGGCAGTAAATCGGGAGTTTTGTCTCATCGAAGTAGACAAACTCTACATTTGAATTCGTAAAAAGTACGTTTTCATTATAGAGTAAGGGGCCAGATAGTTGTCTCAGTTAGGAGTTCGAGGGACAAGAGGCCAAGACCAAACAGCTAGACAGGGACGAACAGAGCAGGGACAAACAGAAGTCTTGATGTCCGAGTAAAATAGGTGATGAAGTCTCTCATTGTTGCACTCAAAGGTCACATCTCATTGGCAATGAAGATAGTATATTAACGTTGACAGTAATTTTACATTTAAAGAAATTTGTATTGTCTTTTTATTTGAGTACATGTTAGTACCATTTTCCTTCTGTTGTAACCAAGTCATTGATTTCTTTTCATTTTAAATTCTGTTGATAAACTGATTAAATTTTATATTTGTTCATTGAAAGGGGGCTCATTGTGTTATTTCTTCAATATACTTGTTCAGTGATCTGCATTCTTCTTTCTATCTATCCACACTGGGTAAATTATACCGCGGAGGTCATTCCCTAGCAATGAACCATAGTGAAAGAGGTTGGTGTTTTGAACGCCAATTTGCCATACCTATATACATACATACATACATACACTAAATACATTATTTAAAACTACATCATGTGACACTTAAAGCCTGAAGCTATTAGTATATAACACCAGAAAGAAACTTATGTATTCATGCACCCTTCTGAGTGCTCCTTCATTATCATTGCTTGGTTGTTATGGTTTCAGTACCATTTTTCAGCACAAGATACCTTGTGGCAAGTATATTTAGATGAACCTGAGCAAACCCCAGGATAAACCACTGACCCACATGAAGCTACAGGCAAGCTTTCTCACATCCATGTTGGCCAAGCGTGAGATTCAATCATATGCATACAAGATGAGATGCTGGTCCGTAATGGCAAGTGCCTTAGACCAACTGGCCACCCTGAGCCTCTACAATGTTGTCCATGGGTACTATTGAGTTTAATGTTGAATAGAGAAACTGCCTGGTATATTATACATAAAATTGTACTACTACTCAATCATACAGGATGCATGAAAATACATTTGATATACAAGGCTGGGTACATTGGTTTGCATACCTACTTTTATAATACATACACATATATATTGTGTAGTTAAACCACCTTTTAATGAAGTTTATTTTCACTACTACATGTGCTTAATATAATGAAATCCATCAATCTTATCATGGGAACTGTGTTAAAATGAAGGATTTCATAGTGTTGGAGTACTGTATTCTTATATGTTTGGATTTAACGCTCATGCATTGACATAAGCAAACATAAATAACAGCGGACAAACTGAGGTGCTTATCTATACATCTAAATTATACAAGGGTTTGAGCAAAAGAAATTGGATAAAATTAAATGGGTCAAAATTAATCAAGAACCCTTTAAAATCTTAATGTTGTGAAGATTTTGAAACAACAGATTTACAATTAGAAAAAATGTTGCTTGTCAGACCTGACAAAACAATGCAATAGGAAGAGGGAACTAGTGTGTACAATTTAATTATGTATATCCAAGTACAGATGTGTAGCTTTGCAATATCCTCATGGAATAATTGTCATAATTCTATAGCAGAAAAATTTCTAACCACGATCCAATTAGGGATTTTCTCAGTCATAGCCTATTGATCAAACTTCATAAATAAAGACAGAATTCAAGTAAATTACTTGATAAACATGTTGTTCACAGTATCTATTGCTGAAATTTTCTGAGCATACGTGAGTTAAGCATCATTCAAAAGTTCTTGAAAATCTGAAGCAGCCTGTCATGGGGGCTGCTATCAAAGATGTTATGCTAATGGTCCTCAGTGGGCAGTTGGGTTCTATAGATGTTGCCCAGCACTAATGGGTATCTTTTCTACCTCTGTGAGGTGAAGAGCTCTTCTTGAAATGCTGCTGGCTGCACTAATTATCCTTGAGTGGTAGACACATCTGTCTGACTAGCAGTTCCCTTTTCTGTCTAGTGATAAATTACAGATACCATATTTGCCACTGTAATAGTTACCTAAGTATAACACTATCACATTTGCTAGTGTAATTTGTAGTAAGTATAACAGTACCATTTTTGCCAGTGTAATGTGCATCAAAGTGTAACAATACTCTATTTGCTTGTATAATGTTCATCCTAGTGTAACTACCATAACTGACTGTAATTCACACCAATAACCACCATATTTGCCTGTGTAATTCACACAAGTCTAACATCCATTTTTTGCTGGTGTAATGTGAACCCAAGTGTAACAATACTCTATTTGCCAGAGTAATGCTCACCCAAGTGTAACTACCATATTTACCTGTGTAATTCACACCCAATTGTAACAGTACCATATTTGCCTGTGTAAATGTCACTCAAGTGTCACAGGCATAGGCCTGGAATGCTCTACCTTCTGTTGAACTGCCTGGTTAGCATGCAGGACTTGCAACCTAAAGGATAGTGGTCTGAATCTTGTCTAAACTGAGCTAGATCAGATGCTGTGGTTGGTATCTGTTACTTAACTTATTATCATTTCTTGCAAAATGTATATCATCTGATCTGTCAACATACCAGACTCCAACACTATAAGTCTCTTCATTACAGATGGTTCCTATAACAAGTCAGGTATGGTCATCAATTTCATTAAGGCTAATAAAATCTATGTATAATGTACATCATTAACTATTGAGATTGTTCTATATTACAGTAGTGACAGCATTTATGTGTGTGTGTGTGTGTGTGTGTGTGTGTGTGTGTGTTTGTGATTTGGATTTTTAATGTAGCTTTAACAATTTTTTCAGACATATTTGAAATTTTCTGGCAAATTTTTTCAGTCATATTTGAAATTTTCTGGCAAAGTTAAAATCAGCTGACTTATATTTTGTACATTTGAAAATGTTTTCTGGTTGAATAATAAACAACCTGTTTGGAAAGGCACTGCTAAACTTAAACACTAGAATAAAATATTTAAAACTTTAATTTTATAGACTGCACTATTCAAAGTAATGTTTCAAATGTTTCAAATATTTTGTTATTCCAGATCACAAATCCATACACAGTACTTATTTTTCAGCATGATATTATAGGACATCATAAACAAAGCTAGGTCATTTGTGCCTGCAAAAGTTTAATATCATTAAAATCAACAGAACAAGATATTAGTAATAATAATAATTGTTATAATAAAAAGGGTACAAATTATTTTTTGTGGGGTGTTTTACTTTAATGACACTTTTAACATATTACTGCCTATATCTTGCTGAGGAAACTGGAGATAAGTCCCCTTTCTAAAGGGCACGCTTAGGCAACCATATCAGGCTGGCCTGAGCTGGTAATAAACCTGCATCCTTTGCATCAGTCTAATGTGTTACCTACTGAGCTATGGATGCTATTATTCAATGCAATGTTCTACAGTAATTCTACAAGGTAAATAAATTGTAAAAAAAATTGTAATAAATTTATGATGCATTTTCTTGTTTACATGAAAAACTAAATATTGTTGTTTTAAGCACTGATTAAGTTCTTCAATTTTGTTTTTGTTAACACTGATGTTTCTTGTACATGGTAAGGCTTGCTATATTTTCAAAGATAAAAACAATCATAAATAAAATTAATATTTAGCAGATCCTGGAGGCAAATGTTGATAGAAAATAAGACTGTGTCATGAAAGCATTAGATTGTATCATTTTAATGCTAAAATCATTTACTGAAAACTACCTAGACATTTCACAAGGACCATACATTAAACATATAGATTTTCCTTTCAAAAATTGGCAGCCTCCTTCCTAGACATTAAATGGTTAACTGAAATGCTCTGAATCCTACAACATACACATGCTGCCTTTTTTCATGATTAAAAACAAATACAAATGTCATGATTAAAAACAAATATGAATGTCATAATTAAAAACAAATATGAATATTATAGCAAACAATATGTGCAGCACCAGGAATAATGTGGGTAACACCTGCACACTTCCATACTTGAGCAGATGCTAACATAAGATTATTGCATATGGTACTTTATACACCTGTCTTATGACCTTGCCCTAGCTATTGACCTTGACCTTTGAGGTGTGGACTACTCTATGATATTGTTGGTGTGAGTTTCTTGAAAATGTCTCTTGGGGTGAAAAAGTGACATCCTGAATAATGAAACAGGTTGCATTATCCCTTGTTTTCACTTTCACCTTGAGGTAGGAAATTTAACTTTATACAAGTCACAGTAACATTCCCTAGCCATTTTCACAGGATGCTTGTCCCAGCTGTTTATATCATATGGCCATCAGATAGTTGAAACTATTTGGTTATGGGTAATTAACATATGTTAAATGAAGAGATAAGATATGTGTTGAATGCAGTTCATATGCACATGAAGATGTTGAAATAGGTACATAAGACTGGTAACACAGCTTTACAAAAGAAAAGAACAATGTAATGAAATTTCATTATATACAAGTGCAGTTGTTGGTTAAAATGAGGCTGAAGACAGTGCAGCTCATGTCATTACTCAATTCCCCAAACTCTGCAGGGTGATAAAGAGTACAGAGGATTAAGAAAAAAAACTGCTATTGTATCCCGAGTTGCCATGGCTACTAATGTATAATGTAAAGGTGATATGCCTACCATGCTTCCTCAGATTCACATCTGATGACCACAATGAAGTAGAGATGGTCTAAATAAAATAGTCATGGTTTACTATTCAAGACATTCATTTTGACCGCTCCAATAGCCTAGTGGTTAGAGCATCTATCTCAGATGTGGGAGGTCGTGGGTTCAAACCCCCGCCTAGTCATACCAAAGACTTTTAAAATTGGTACTAACAGCTGCTTTGCTAGGCACTCAGCATTAAGATATTAGTGTTAGAACATGTCAGCCTGGTGTCAGGATAATGTGACTGGGTGGGAAATCATGCTACATGTCTGCTGCATGATGCTCCAGTACCAGACATCACTTTAAACCATCACACTGCAGATACCATAGCATCATGACTAAAAAATTGTTAAAGCTACATTAAAAAACTAAATTGCACACAAACTCTCTCAAGATTGACTGATCAAGAGAGAGATGGGATGGGTTGGGTGGTCACTGTGTGATGACACAAATTTTGAAGACTTAATGAAACTTAACCCTTTTTTCACTGAGGACGGAAAAACGTTCACGGGGAAGTATATCCGTAAACACTATGGAATGACTTTTCCGTCTGGGGCAGTGTTCTTCGTTAACGTTATAGTACCCGACTAAATAACTTTCAGGGTACCTCTAATAACTTCCATCTTGTAATGTAGATGTTATATTTGGATGATCTCATGAGTTTAGCTTGTATACAACTAGAAATATCGAACAAAGTATGAACTTTTAACGTGTTTTCCGAATGTTGAAACTTGTATCCAAAATGGCGTTTTTTTTTAAAGAAACTTCAATGCAGTTATTGGATGATTTGAATAATTTTAACCTGGTAAATTGGATAAAAATGAGAGAAGACGTCTGGATAGACAAAGGAATGCACTTGTGGGTGACAGTGATGACGATGAAGAGGACTTTGAAGGTTTTGAACCAGAAAAATTGTACGATCCATGTGGGTTTTTTTTTTTTTTGCTCCATGTGGGTTTTTTTTATGGACGAAGCCGGAAAACCATAGAGATTTGTTTCAGTTTTCTGACAGAGTTGGGCACACCCGAGTGTTAGATGGCTCCAGGAAAGCTTTGGAATATTTATATTCAGATGAAGTTTTTGGAAAAATCGTCCGTTTAACGAACTTCAATGCGACGATCAAACGTGGCAGAGGTGAGATAGGTGTGTGGACAGATCTCACCTTGGAGATCATTTTGGTTCATTTTATACAATTTTATATATTATGGACACCATGAAAGAAAGACTTGTGTTGCTACTGTGATTATTCACTAGTACATCTAGGGTCAATTGAACAAGTTTTGAGAACTTTCTAAGCTTTCTAAGAGGTAATAAAATAATTGTATTTTACCTGTTGTATTACCTGTTTGTACCTGCATTTTAACAGTTGTAATAAATATGCACATTTTAATGAATTAGTCACAAAATTTGATTTTTAACCTTGATTTCAACACATAATCCAGCCAGATATCTTTAACATTGCCAAAAATATGTTGTTTCAAAGTCCACAAGTCATTTTGCTTTACAACTCCAAAGTTACTTAGTTTTGAGGACTCTATGCCTACAAAGTTGCTTAGTGATGAAAGGGTTAAAGTTGAATAAATTGTGCTCTGAAGTCATCATAGTCAATCCAGAATGATCTTGAGAAAGTTCACTGATTATTCTCTTATTTCATCTCTGAAACATAAAAGCTACAGTAGCATTGACCGGGTTGTTTTAATAGTACAGTGACATATACATATATGCCAACCTTTGGTGAGGAAAAAGCATAATCAAAGTAGATAAAAGGAGAAATCTGAGAAGAAAAAGTCTAACCCACATAAAACATAATAACATTCAAGGCTCATATGTATAAAACGTATATATTGGCATCAGGAAGCATCCATTTGAACAAAGAACCAAAGTTGTATTATACCACTAGTTATAGTCAGTGTTCTATTAAGAGCTCTGTAAATACAGCCCCTGCATTTATAAAACTCATTTCCACAATTTAGTTCTGCTGTAAAAAAAAAAGAAGTCACCTTAGTATTGGAGTTAGTAGAACGAGCTAATTCAAGGTGTGTTTTACACTATGACCAATATTAAAATCCTTTACACAAAGCCTGCAATGAGCATGAAGCTACCCTAGAATGGCACTGTATTGTGTTATTCATGTAATCATCTCTGAGTTGTTTATTTCATTTTTTTTCCCCTCTCTAATCCATCATGAAATCATTTTTTTAACATTTTTGCTGTAAAATATGAATCAAATAGAACAAATAGGAAAATCTTACTGCCAAATTCCTACAGAATGGTTCTGTACTGCACATTATTTTTAACAAATATGTGAGCAAAGATTAAAAATTAGATAACCAGTCTGATAGGTCCTAAGCAAGACAGCTGCTATAAATAGAAACAGGTCTTCTTGGAAATGGGTTACTTGCTATAAATAGAACATAACACTTATGAAGGTCACTTCTAGCCCACCAAACAGTGTACTTTTATGTCATAGTTACAAAGAAGCCATCTTTTCTAGAATAGGTTCTGTGCGATTAGCTGGATGTTAATAAAAATATAAAAACAAATTAATTTTTTTGGGAGAGGGATATACTAAAAAAGCTTTATCCAAATACATTTACTCGTAAAGCGTAATTTAGTGGAAAAAAGCATAATGGTTGGCATGTATGCACATGGTGCATTAGAACTCCAACTGTATTGGTTTGTAGAGGGCCACACATCAAAAAATTGATTTTGAAAGGAAAGCTAATTGCAACAGGTTCTTACTCTGTCGAAATTTGATGAAAGACATTATCATTTAAAGAAAATTTTTAGAAACAGTTACATCCAATTGGTGAGGAAAAAATTATGGGTGTACACTTTGGGAGACTGAGAATTTAATAGTACCAACTTGCTCAAAATTTTTTAGTTTGACTCTTGCCTTGTAAGAAGTCAAGTCCAACTTCTTGGGGAACTGGAGAATAGTGTTTTCCCTCATAAAAAAGGGCCAGACAGGCTATAGGTTAGGACACGGTTGTGTGGAAAGAAACTGCATTAAGGTATGCAAATTTTAGTTTTCATAACATATTCTATTTCATTTGTTTGGTTTTGTTTGCAAATTGGTTCATATGCTTATGATTCACACATGTATTGTGTATTCATTTCATAAGATTCTGTTGATATGTGTTATGCAATTTAATTCTTTAATTGAACAATTATTAGTTCATTGAGATAATTGAAATATTGCATGTAATCAAACGTTCAATACATAGAATTTCATAGGGATTTATGATGTAACCTAGAGGATGCTTAAATATGCAGTATTTCATAAGGATTTATAAATTAACCCTAATATACAGATGTGTCATATTTCTTAAGATATATGAAATAAATTCCTGTATAGGATGATAGTGTTAATGTGAGCTAATGACAAATGTATATTTATATATGATTTTGCAATGCTTAAATAATCTTACAAGTCACTGGTTATTGTAGCTAGATTTAGTGGATATTATGACACAGTAATTAAGCATATATTTTATTGAACAGAATTGACTAGCCAAATGTAAATAAGATGTATAGTAATGCATGCTGGTATATAGGTCACATTTGTCTGAGACAGCACTGGCAATTCCTAATCAACTGCCTCACACTGAATGCAATGAACGATCTAAGGTCATCTGTACTAATGTAAGGGTACCTTATCAAAACACAGAATATGTAAAAACAGTTCTTTGATAAGATCAAGTTATGTCAGAATTTGTGCAGTGTGAATGCCACTATGAATACTAAGGAACAAAGTTATATATCACTACCAAATAATTGTTGAAACATAAGTAGCTTTTGTAATACTCTCTTATAAAGAGCTTCATACTCCAAGTGAGAGAGAGAGAAAGGAAAAAGGATGAGATAAGCAAAGGAAAACTCGATGAGTCAATGGAAAATCCACATCTAAGAAAGGCCAGACTAAACAGCAGTCAGAAAGAGGACCAAAGCACACACATTAGACTGGAAACAAGACCAAAGACAGATACCAGGTGATGCTGTCAAGTGTACAATTCAGAATTCACTATTTGTAATAAGATGCAAACTGAACAATGACTAAATTTTATCAATATGAATCTGTTGGATTGAAATTGAAATTTTGGTCACATATTAATTGAAAGTGAGATTTGGTTTATTAATTGATTACACTTTTTTTTAATAAATCTGTTGTGTTAGTTGAAAGTGAAATTTTGGTTATTTACTAATTGATTAAATTTATTTTTATTTATTGAAAAAGGGGGTTTGTTTCTTTCAATCACTTGCTTAGCTATTTTTTAACGTTCCATCTATCTGTCCACACTATGCAACAACACCATGGGAGATCATTCCCTAATTAACAAATGCCAAATCAATTAAGGAAGCTTTAATATTTACACTGATTTATTTAAATCTTTTTCAAAAAGAATTTCTTACTTTTTCAAAATAAAAAATTGTGCAGTGTCATGTGTGTCACAGAGAGGGAGAGAGAGAGAAACAGTTTTATCGAGATTTCTTCACTTTAATTGGAACTGTATTATTCTGTATTATCAAAGTATCAGTTTTTAATAAATAAATATAAAATCAGTCACAGAAAGTCATCCTAAATACATATTAATACATAAAAAAATTAGTTATTTAAAATGGACAATGATCTTGCTCCAAACTAATTAATCAACATTTTATTATTAACACAGACCTAAAGCACTTGTTCATTCAGTTCCATTTTTGCAGAACTATCTTGTACTAAAACATATTCCTGCCTTTTACAATTCAACTGAGGAACACATTACACCTTTCTCTTGGTAATTCATACAAACTTGGGTAAAAAAAACCAGACTGCACTATAAGCAAGGGTACAAGTTACCGAGGGACTCTCAAAAGAAACTGCTATACATCCAGAAAACGGGTGGAGGAACTGGGTTGTTTTATGACTGAATCCTTGTTTTATAATCAAACTGAGAAAAATTGTCAATAAAGCACTTTGTCTGATGAAGTTGTTCATTATTATGTCCAACATCTGAAAGATCTATAACATGATTTCAACTGGTTTCAACAACCAAACACGATATAGGAAAACATTCAAATATTATGTTACAGCTTTTTGTTTTGCTGATTAGACTGGTTCCTGGTGTGATACGTAGGAGTCTTTGAAGCAGGAAACCAG